CTCATCTGCATGGCAAGGTTAATACCAGATGCCCTGGTGCAGAACCAGTGTCCAGGAACACCCATGGCAGTGAACCAAGAGGGTGAACCACACAAACTGTAGGAAAGAGATTAAACAGGCTGCAGACTTGACAGGAAGTGCTGACGTGGGCGAGATAAGCTGGAGCCTCAGGGCAGTGTGACAGGGCCGTGGGATCAGTAGGGGCATCTTAGATCAGTCACAGCACAGGAAATGCACCCGAAACGTTCCAGCTGGAAATTTGACAAAGTTCTCTCCAAATTTGGCAGCAGCCTTGACATAGTTGCTACAACCAGCGACGAGCTGTCCAGCGGGAGCTTCGGTAAAACAGCCGCCTCGATTTGCTTTCCAACCAGCTGTGCGAGAGGGATTCAGTTATCTTACTCTTTTCTCCCTGGAAAAAGATATCGCAAAATCATTGTAAAAAGAGGCAATACAAAGTGTAGACGGGAAAAAGTATCACGGTGCAGTAGAGATGAATAAAAATTGTGGTATTTATGGATTTTATGATGTTTGCGCTATTAGTCAATTGGCAAAAAAATGTTTAATTTGTTGTGATTTCTCCCCTCGTTCTAAGTAAATAGGTGTCTAATTTTAGCATAACAATTTTGCATTTTTTTCTTAAAGAGGGCCCCCTGGACTTCGGGCTGCGCAAACCTGGACAGGCGCAGCAGCACCTCCACCGGGTGGGGCAACGCGGGCCTGCGCCTCCGAGGCTCAGCTGCAGGGCGCAAAGGAGCCTCGCCAAACCCGCGCCTCTTCACGCCCGAGGACACGACGGCCGCCGCGGGAAGCCGGGCCCCATCGGGAGGGCCTGCCCGCAAAGCCACCAGGAAAGCCGCCCCGGAGGGCGGCGGGGGGGCGGCAGGCGCTGAGCTCGGGCGCAGACGCCGTGGTCCTCCGCATTCCCGGATGCTGTGCCCCGGAGCTCATCCTCGCTCGAGTTCGTCTGCAGCCCCGCCACCCACCTCGAGGCCCTTTCGAGGTCCCTCGGGCACGCGCGCAGCGCCGTGGAAAGCCCGAGTTGCCCACACCCGTGCCCCCTGCGGCGGGCGCAGGCGACACCCGGCCCGCTTCAGCGCAGGCTGGAAACAGGTGCCCTTTCTGCCATCTGCTTAGTGCCACATTTCCTGCATTTTTGTGCTTTTTCTTGGTGATTTCACGGCTTACAACGGCCCGCAAGCCCGGCGCTGGAAGCTGTCCGGCGTCCCCACGTGCAGGGAGGCCAGGTTGGCCTTCTGGGGAGAGCCCGCGTGTCCGACGGCGCTGCGGGCTCTGCTGCGTCCACGGGCCAACATGCGCGTCGGAGGCGGCGACCGCCGGGCTGGGGCGGGGGTTCCCGTGGTCGGAGCTGCTTACGGGGGGCCTAGGACCACCCGGGAGGGAGGGACGCCGGCCCCTCGGGCTTCCCACGGGAGAGCTGATGAGACGGGGCCCCCGAAGGCCGTCCGCGGACAGGCGAGGCAGCAACATCCGGGCGGGCGGAAGGTCCTGGCCCACGCTGGCCGGGCACCTGCGGGCAGGGAGGGTCCACGCGTCCGAACCCCCGAGGCCCGCCCAGCCCAGGGCCGTTTCCATCGCCTTCTTCCTCTGCGGCGGACGCCAGCCTGGCCCTGAGCCCACCCTGGGGACCCGGGGCTGTGCCACCGCTTCGCTGGCACAACCGTTGGCACAATCCCG